AACTAATATGTTTTTATTTAATATTTCTGTAGAACGATATTTAACAATTTGTCGAACAACATTTTTCATTGATTGTCAGCTTTTAAGACAGAATTTGATATCAACTTTAAACCTTTGATTTTCTTTTGTTCAGATTGTTGAATACTGTTGTCGAATACTGTAATCATTTCGAAAGTTTTGATAACTGCTGTGCAATAACGAAGGTATGTAAGTCATATTTTCATTAAATTGAAATAACTTTTATGTATTTTACTTTTGAACGTGTATCCTTTGTAATATTCGTCGTCATGTCGGTAACTGTTTTCGTGATGAAGTCTCGTGAGACACATTTCGAGTGAAAACTAACGTAGATTTTACGTTGTCAGTGCTTCAGAATCAAAAATGTAAGTATATTTGCGTACTATATTTAATTAATTTTATTTTTAATAAAAAAATTTAAATGGGAGTATCTATATAATATCTAGATGATATTTGATATTTTTGCTATTAGATAGGATATTTTTAAATTAAATCTAAGTAAGATAGGTACTTTTTTAATTAACATCTTAATACATAAGTGGGTATTTAATTGAGTTTTAGTCTCCTTACCATTTTAGTGTCATTCTCAGTGTTAACGATTGAGCACAGAATAAAATTTGCTCGTTGGGTAATTTATTCACTTACATCCTTACCGACATTGCGTCGAGAAAAGTAGAATCCCGTAAGATTACTGTGTGAGTTTGAATGATTTGAAAATTTTTCATTATATCGGAAGAATTATTAGAATTTTAATAAATTTTAATAATATATGCAAATTCAATGCATTAAACAATTGTATTTCCTTATATCACAATGCTTTTTAATACGTGAAAGTACAGTCACTTATACTTTACGGTAATACATGTGTATGCGTGCGTGTATAGTAAAATGGCACAAAGGTGGGAGAGTAAGAGTTGTTTGTGCTATAAAATAAATATCTTGTAAGTCTTATGATTTAGTATTTAGATATTTATTTATAAATAACTATTCTTATTTGTATTCTGGATCTGGTTTAGGTTTTCTTCTAGGATCATCTGCATCTGAGAGAGGAAAGATTACTGGTGGTGCATTTTCTGGTCTTTGAGTTTGTCCAAATCTGTAGCCAGTCTCTTTCGTAACTGATGGAAACCAGGATCTAGATAGCGGTAATTGCTCGCATCTGAAATATTTTCAAGCATTAAGGGCTTGAAATAATATTTGACACTTTCTCTTTCTTTCTTATTAAAAACGATTTGCATGCAATTAACAAACACACAAATTATTGGGAGAAAACAATTACTTTGATCGATTCGACTGAAGTAATAATAATTTAATTATGTCGTTCTCATAAGATATTAAAGCAAGCGTAGCATGAAAACAGAATTGACAGTAAAGAATTCATTTAAGTAAGAATCACGAGGTAGAAAGATAAGTGTGTTAATTCTTGTGTAGTAATATAGGAAAAGAAAGAAAAGAAATTGTAAGAAAAAGATTAGATGCAACATGCATAGCTTACAAGGTATCTAAGACAGGAGAGTGTGAGGATAATGAGGTTTTATTTCCCTAGTAGTTGTTCTAGGGAGCAAACTGTGGGCAAACTTTCACACCTGCACGTATTTTGGTCGTAAAACCAGCCGGTGGAACATTCGTGTGGATTTCTGCAAGAGCAGCTACAGTTTATTGGATCCCAAGTTTTTTCCTCATGTTCGTTACATTTCTGACGTTCATCTTGGTTCGTACATATGCATTTACATTCGGCTGGTTTGTAAATTTGTTTGGGTGTACAGTCCTGAAAAAATTTTGCTAAAATTTAATAAGCTCCGCTTCGTTGACATACAAAGCGCGTATGTCTGGTTGTGATTTCGAATTGCTGCGGTGTAAACCGAATTGTACTAGTTTAAGAAGGAAGATGTCAATTATCAGTTGTTCTCAAATTACCGACGGCTTTATTATGCAGTTACACTCGCATTTCGTGTCCACGTCTATCGGCACGACTTGCTTCCCCTGGTACTCAAATCTGTCTCCCATGAATTTCGCCACAACGATCTTTAAACATGTATCATATGTGATTATATTGTTCATCAGTAGTAACACATTTAGCTTACCTCGAAATTTTGGGTCTCCGTTTCCTTTGCCTCGCAAGAGAGTAACTGATTTCCGCAACAACCTCCGCATCTGTTGACTCGCGTACAACGGGGGAAAAAGAAGATACTTGGATCGTTAGGCTCGTACGTAGGAACTACCTTTAACGAAGGTTTACAGACAGCTTGTTCTGCCATCTTGCTATTCTTGCGTTCTCCACTCTCTCCCATTCTACCTGAAAGAAGTTTGGGCGAATTAGTCAATGTGTCTCCTTTCCTTTCAACTCCCGCTAGAATCGGTTCAATCGGCACAACAGCTTGTTGTGAGTTAGGTTTAAAACTTGTCACGCGAGAAATGCAAGTTATGCTATTCGTCAATAGTTACTTTACTTTACCAATGTTAGAAAAATAGTAGTCAAGAATGTCAAGAAAAGATAATAATGGTAATAATGGTAATAATACTAAATGATAATCGTCAATGGCAATAGTGTAGCAACTGTTCCGTTTTTCTAATAGACGGAAACGTCGTTGACGCGTGACGTCATACCAGACTTTAATCAGAATAATATCCATGCGACGGATAACGTAATAAGTGACACGTCTTACGATTCGTATTCTTTTCAAGCTCGAGATCTTGAGGTGACCAACATTGAAGAGATCGAGCAGAGCATTAATAGGATAAAATTGGAAGAGGAAATGGCAGCGACTATCAAAAGAGAGTGCTGTCAAAGAGATGAACACGATATCGTTTAAGTTAATTGGAGCCAAACGGCGGAATAGAATTCTCGTGAAGCTTTTTGGAAATGAAGTAAAAACATTGGTTTTCTTTGTTCATTTGTTCGTACGCGATAATGGAAATTATTCAGTTTCCCCTATCAAGTCTTTCCATCTGATTTATTTGATTTTACTTGGATTGTGAATTGCATACTATTCTGTCTGAACTCTCTAAAATTCAATTATTCGATCTCTAGGAAATCAACGAGATGGATAACACATTCAAAAGATTTTGGTAGCTTTCTGAAGAATGTTGATTACTTCGAGGATTTTTAGAGAAAATAAAGATCCTTGATCTTCAGGGATTAAATATCTTTGTACATATTTTCCTCGTCTTTAACAAATTGTTAGTGTAAACGAAGTGACGAAAATTATTTTTAACCGTTATACATGTCTCATAATATCATGAGTTTTTCGTGTGTTCTTTTATCCTACGATCAACCGAATGATCTCATGTTCACCGATAATCAAGATTGAACAATGCAATCGCTGAAAGATAACAGTCAGATTAACACACGTTTATCTGTATGGACAATATTTGCCGCAGTTACAGTTGATTTATCCATTATAATTTCTTCTTTAACGCCAAGATTTATGAAGGCAATAGTATTGCAACGTCGTAGTAATAACCATATCTACATTGCGTGTTTTCTTTCAACGTTATGCAAATTTTGTTTTAACTTGAACGAAGTATAATCTGAAGGATTATATTGCTCGGGATTGAACCGGTTTTTTTTACAGATAAATTACCGACAAAAAACTTGAAACGCTCTTAACCTGGATATATTAAATTGCTAATAATTCTACGTATTAGAAACGCATTAGAGGATCTTTCTGCCAAAAGGAATCCCGAGATGCAAATTTTTACGAAGAAGTTTCTCGAGATGGCAGAAATTCCAAATTGGCGAGAATTCTACTGATGATTTCAAATTTTTAGTCGGAAGTGTTTCCATGTTTCTGTAAATTCATGATACACTGTACGATAATCTATCTAAGATTATACTTACTACTGAGAGAGAAGACTTCCGACGGTGATACACCGATCATTCGAAGGAACTCATCAACCGAATTGATTTTCTTGACTATTTGCGACGACCGCGACCGCTGAAAGTAACAAGGACATTTTTTTTTTTTTTTTCATAAAAAAAAAACACGTAATTTGTGGAAAAGTTTTGACGCTTTCGTTATCAGATTGTCTTCCGTTATCGCGATTAGTAAATACTATAATTGATAATGATAAAGTGATAAAACACCAATGAAATTGATCAAAAAGGTTCCGTTACACAATAATTTATCAATCAACAGTTAATTAATCGTCAAGTTACTATTTAATAGCATAATTTTCTCATAATTTTGCAATATTACATCACATAGGATGGTAGAAAGCTTGAGATGTATTTCGTTTCGTTTCATTGTCAAACTTGTTGATAAGACTGTGAAAAAATTCATCGATATATTAATATATAAGAATATATTCGTTAATTATATTAATACCAATATCATTAATATTTATATAATTTGCAACTTGTAACTTGCAAAATATGACTAATAGTCACATCAGTTGAATTCAGTGCAAAGTGTCTCAAAAACGAGAAAAAAGATTGTCATTGTTGCATTCTTGGTGAATACACGATCGTTACGTGGAAACAGTGACAAAGGACATGCTAATCAGCCATTTTTCAGTTAATTTTACTGAGAAATTCCAAATGTTTTTCTTATGCATATTCAAGGAAGAATTAAAACGAGATCTTGGTAAAATAACTGTTACCGTATGCTGTTCTAAACAATGCGCTAAGATCATCGAAAAATAGAAGTCTTTACTTGTCTTACCATCCGATTTTTCGAATCGGTCTAAGAAAACACGGTCGTCGAAGAAAATGCACGAATGCAGGAATCTCGATGTCATAATCGGGGTATTCCCGCTAATAGCTTATCGATGAATCATCGAATTCGATTACAGGCGATCGTGTAATCTAATTATAAAATGACTTGAGGTCAGTCATCCGGGAAACCATAAAAAAAAGATTGGTCCTTGGTCGTGGATGCAAAAGTTTAGAAATGTGTTTTTGTGTTTTGGCTGACTGACTTGTGGCGAACGTGGTTTTTCAACCATTCTCACCCGTTTGCCTTCTCGTCTGGAACAGGTTTCGAACTCATCTCTTAGAAGAATCTTACTTTTTGGTGTTAACGTACTGTTTCGGCAGATTTTCTTTCTTTTCTTTTTTTCTTTTCGCGAACATTTCAGCCGATTTATCGTGTGTTTGGTTACTGCAGCTGTCCCATTCACATCGATGAGTTCGTGTCGATCTGGCGTGTCAGCTGAAATACGTGGATATTTCTTCAGGTGCGGTGGGAATCGGTAACTGTACGGCAAACATTTTAATAAACAGATTACGCACGTCCCGATTAGCATAGCTGAGAAGTCGAAGACATTGTACTTTCTAAGAATCGCTGTCTCTTGGCGCCTTGCAGGAATTTCACGGCGACTTTTAAAGGTCGTCTGCTTGGCGTCAAGGTCGGTCGTATAACCCTAATGCAGCAGTGAAATGGCACAGCTGTGATCGCGTCGTGGCCAAGCAAATAGGTTATTATCTTGGCGAAATAATTATTTATCGCCAGCTTGTGCGCAGGTAGTAGATTTCACCTTGCAACGTTAGCGGTGTGCAGGTGTTTTTTTTTAAATCGTAACCTAAATTTCTCTTCGGCTTCGCAGGTCACGAATTAGTCAGCGACACAGTACGCAAACGTGAAAGATTCTTTTTTAATCAATTTCATCGTTCCGTTCGTACGGGTCGACGAATTGAACAATTTGCTACGGTCAGTTTGATAAAATCACCGGTGTCTGGCAAGGTAATCGGCTAAGTATTCGCACGTCCGGACGTCAAGTGACGTGTAATCGATTATCTACATATCGAATGGCGATCGCTGTGACGGGAATCGTAAGCGCGCCGCGCACCACCGAGGTTTTTTACTTTTCAATCTCGGTCCGCTGCCTGCTCGACACCTGCTTCTCACGTATATCCTTGACATTAGTGTTAGACGGCCTTCAACGTCATTCGGATCTTTATGGGAAAAGCAATCGCGCTCCCGTTTGCAAGGCTGTCGCAATCATATCAAACCGGCCTATCGCCGACAGAAGCAACTGCCACCTTCTTTTCGATTGTTGCTTACGTTAACGAGCGTGCGACGGAGATAATGGAAAATAGGGTACGGCAGGCTGACAAAACCCGAAGCGAATGACGACCAACTTCCGTGCAATTCACCGCAGAATGCAAGTATTCTTTTTCTCTTCGCGTTACCTCACGATTTTCATGAAAAATTCGTGCGCAAAGAAGCGTTGTCGACGACTGACAAATCTCGAGCTTACATATTGTATAAAGTTTAACAGCGTTGCAAAACGTAAACGTTGATGGAGGACCGAATGATCTACGCAATATATTAAACGTACACGTACAATAAAAATACCAAGCTAAGACACTGGCACATGTTCCTTTTCTTCTGCGGACGAAACGATCGAATTAATTTTTAAACATCACCGTACGTCTGCCACGTACGCTCTTTACAATGCTCCGCGGGATAACATATAATTGCGCTATTTACCAGAGTGAAAACGTGGGAGTGTTGCAACGCGCGACTCGTGAACAGACACTCGCGTTCCGCTCGTGAAATACTAAATAACGTGCAACGTGCTTTGGAATCCTTTGGAATCCTTTGGAATTTCGAAATGAAACGTGCGATAGATTTATTTTTTATTATTTACCAGTAATGCGGCGTTGTGTGCTGCTGGCGGCTCGGCTGCCGGAGGACTTAACGCTCTCGGACTGATCTGGTCAGGGAATATCATGTCCTTCTGGGACGTCACCAATCCACAAAAAATCACGAGAACCAGTGTTCTGCACGTGAGGAAACGCGACATTTTTCTCGCCTTTGGAGTCAAGTTTTAGTCAATAGTTTTAGTCTTTGAAGCATAAAATCGGGTCGGTCGCGCGTCCACCGCGATCGTAACGCTGTCGGTTCTTTGCGAGCCAACGTTCGACGCTGACAAATTTCAACGCCCAGTTAAGAAGGAACAATAATCTCACGTGTTTACGTGACGCTCGGCCTCGCTGGCATTGCACTTAAGCCGTTGTTTTTCCGATGCACGAGGAAAACGCGAGGAAGTCGCACCTGAGCAGGTCCGTGTGCCCGCGCCGCGATCGACTGCCGAAGCGAGTACGTCTCTCGCGTATTTCTGGCCACACACACGCAAACGACGCACACGCGCGTCGCATTCACGTACAGATCACGGAGCGCACGACTTCGCTATAACATCGCAAGTAATGCTATCAGTTCCGATTGCGCCAACTATCGATCATTATCGCGATGATGTTTTACGAACGTGGGGCGTTATCTCGTCGTGGGGCGGACAAAATAATTTTTCGTAACACTCGTAACGTTGTAATGAGTCATTGAGTCGTCGACAGTTCTGACACCTTGAACGCGTTGTTCGTAATGCGTTGATAGCTGTGTACGTTGCTCGCTAAAATTTTTCGCGATTACGGGGCTAACTTGCAACGTGGGCGATGAATTTGCATGCGTGACATGAAACTATTCCGAGATTGCCCTCCATATCGCCAGCATCCAAGGTGCTAATTTATTTAAACAGAAGGACAATGTGCAATGCCATCAGTCACTCCTATACGTGTTTAGTTTATTCCGATTTTAATTTCTTCTTGTGAGCATTCTTCACTTCGTTGCTAGGATTTCAAGTGACTTCCGTTGCGAGAAGAACGATTTTATTATCGAGGTACTTGCAAGCCAAGGAAGCAGCCATTTTACTCGGCAGAGTAACAAAGATCGCTCGATAGATCGACTTCACGATCGCGGTGTGTTTGAAAGTAAATACAATTGGATTGCAATCAACACGACAAGCAACGATTGGTTAAAAAAAGAAAAAGAAAACGTGAACTTTGCGTCAATATATCGTTATTTATTTTACATCTGTGAATTATAAAATCTGTGTAAAATCGCGGAAGAGTAAATGGATATAAGTTTTCACGCATCCAGAAAGATTCCAGTTACATAGTTGCTGGAGATACGCTGCTTATCTAGATTTCACTGCAACAAAACGAAGGCAATCCGCAATTGCAGACAGACACATTTCGAAAGAGATTTTACAATTTCTGAAATTCTGAGTAATCGATGACAATTTACCGTTTTAAGTCACAAGCGATATGATTTTCCTACAGCCTACGTTACGAGCGTATCTGTATCCCGGTGGGCATTGTTTTGTACCAGTATTTTCCCTTTTTGGGAAACTAAGAGGTTTTGATTCACTTGTAACGATGAAAACGCACAGCAAAAGGGCGAAGATAATGAAACGTAACGGTGACATCACGTACGCACAAATTACAAACTACGAATCGATATGACTCTCTCTTTCTACTTTTTAAAACGTTCTGCTTTTTTGGCAAGCTATTGTCGGAACAAGAAATCAGACACAAGCGTAAAACACATAATACATTGCTTTTATTCCAATTCCCCTTCTACTTTTCACTTTGTTCGCACTAATTTGCGGTTACCGTTCGTATCCGGATTACGCACATTGCGGTTTCTATTTGATAATTACGCACGATCGTTTCAGGTTAATTACTACCAACAGACAAATTTTTTAGACATAGCTTTACACACAGTTGTGCTACAGATTTTATTAATAAATTTATTTGCATTTGGCACTTTGTTTAACAAAAAGAATCGTGAATTGTTACAATACTAAAGTCATTCATAATAGGTCTTTACCGATATGTGTAAACACATATTGTAATAATATTACAACTAATCAATATCAGCAAGTTACAAAAAAGTATTATAGTTTGTAGTATTTAATAGTACCAATTATTGCAGAGGAAATTGAAATTCGCGATAGAGACGCTTTATCTTGTATAGATTACTTATCTCTGTATGTTAAGTTAGATTCCTTTATGTTTTACCGACGATGAATGATTTATCATTGCAGATTAGAAATTTAATTACAAATCGTAATCGAAGCTTATTGCAGAATAAAATAAAAATATCGTTCTGTTCACTTCGCGAGAGTTCGACGAAAATTTTAATCGCGTTGAATAATCCGCAAATATGGATAGGCGATAAAGCGATTTCCTATCTTTGATAATCACGCGTAAGTTGATAATTTCAATTTCTCGAGATTGAGTATATATTTATATTCGTATCGATATTTCTTTACTTGATTCGTGTTGTATTTTTAGCTTAATTTACAGTTCTTTCTTGAGTTTTTTGAGTCGTTTCACTCATTCGGTAATCCCCATTCACGTTCCACGCACTTCTTTACCGACGTTGCGCTCAGAAAAGAATTCTATAGCGATTTCAATGAAACGACTTGAGAATTCTTTGTCACATCACGTAGAAATGATTAAAACCTCGATATCGATTGGTAGGCACGATCTCTTATTACAAGTGGCATCTGAAATATCAATTCGAGCATGAATTAAGAGTTTATCACTGCTGTAGCTCGTGATTCTAAGTATGGTTGATAGTCGTTCGTTACATGATTTCATAGAAAACTCTCTAATCTTTATCTTACTCTTTGTGGGAGATTAGTTAACCGAATGATCATCTCTTCGTCTCTGTATTACGAAGTACGTGTATCTAACGTTCACCAAATAAAATTTTTACTCACTTAAAAGATAGCTCTGCAACGATTCCCGATTTTCACTCTGTCCGGTGGACAATTAAGCGGCACATTGATGAAGGATCCTCTTTGAACATTGCTGTTGGTTTGGAACGGCACAAACTTCTTTTGTTCCTTCGGTGGCGTTGAATTTCCGACGATCACGTGGAAGGACAGAGACAAGATGAACGCCATTGCCAGTACGATCCATGCGAGTCTCATGGTTGAAAACGATGCAAGATTCGACTTTGATTTCTAGTTTGATCGAACTGAGTGGTCTTACCTCTGAGTAGTCAGAGTACGCCACGATTTCAAATGATTATTTGAACGGATAATGAACTGAAATGGACGCGGTGACAAGAGCAGACCTCGAAAGCAAAGTCGCTCGTGCAACGCAAATGAGCGCGACCGATGTCGCGAAGAGTGTATTGCGACGGATTGCAATGACACACTCGTGCGAAGAAATTTTTACGATCTTTTCACTGGCGTGGCGAGACGTGCTCTATCATCGTCGAGTTTACACTGCGTGCCAACATTCGCATTCCTCCTGTTTACACTAGTCGAATTGCATATTAACAATGCGATCGCGTTACCATCTCGTGAGACTGACGTACAAACACGTTGCGCTAAATTGGAAAACTCGTCGTCGAAAGCGTTGTCTCTCGTGAAGATGGTCTTATCAGTACAGCGAGTATCGATGGTAATAATAAACCGCGTTATCGCGCGATACTCAAGATTATTAGCTTCTGGAACGAGGGACGAAGCCTCGCTTCGAGTGAACCTCTTGATCTCTCCGGGAGGGAAGATATAATTCGGCGCGATAAGTCTCTTCACCGTTTATCTCCAAACCTGCCTGCATTTGCCACGTCGATCCACTTTTTCTCCCGCCGCGCAAATCTTCTTTCGCCGAGGAACCATTATTATGCTACTTTCCGCTTTTACGCCGCCGTCCGTGGAATTCTCATCGTTTCCACGCGCGTAGTCTGACGCAGGGATTGATCGATCGTTCGACTTTATCAGAGTCTGAATGGATGTGACGATATTTTCAATGGACCAACCGTTGACAAGAACAAGCTGAATGAGAAACAAGGCGAGCACTGCGTTCCAGTAGCGCATCGCCCTAACGATCCCGCTAATAAAATTAGCCGTGTGACTTTCACTCTCTCTGTTTCCAACGAAATTCACTTTTTATTGGTACACACGCGTAAACGGGATTGGTGGAACTATCTGTCCCGCCGACAGGATCGATCGCGAGCCGACACTCGTTTTATTATTAACGAGTTTTGATTCGCCACTAAACGGCAACTCGCTCGGCGCCAGCATTTCGTTTTCATCGACTCGCGATAACCTTTGGTGACATTTTTCAGAGCCGATCGAGCGTCGAGCACCGACCGGTTTTTATTTTCAAGTACGCTGCGCGCGTTCCTCGCCCAACAATTTCCATTCATGTCGACTGTGGCATTTTTCACCTACGGCGAAATCCATGAAATTTTCCATCCGCGTACAGTGTTACGTAACATGCTATACCACGTGCTATATTAGATGTCTTAGAAATAAGAAGCACAGCATTCAGCCGTGGCGATAACCTTCGACGATGACTTTTTGATGTTCTGGAAACAGTTTGCACTGCTTTCTTTCTCTCTACGTAGCGTGTATATGATTTTTTCCTCGTTTTATCCGGTCATTTCGTTAAACAATCGAATCAGTTTGTGGCGCCATCGCGCGTTTGCCGCGAAAGCAATAAAATGGTCGGCTTCGTTGCGCCGCGCGATGACGATCGTGTCAATCGTAGAATCGTTACCACAGGCTATAAATGTTCGTACAGATTCATATTTTACGATTATCGATCGATGATTCATTCACGTGTTCGCAAAACGGAGTTAGAGCCCCGATCGTCAATCGTCGAGCCAAAGAGATGACGCATTCGAAGCCACGGTTGAAGCACGCAACTGACTTTGAACTTTTATAATCTGTGTAATTCCCAGTCCACCGAATGTGAATACCAAAGTGCTTTGTTTCGCCTGTCAACGAGCCACCGGAGGATTTTATTTCTTTACTTTGACGTACAGATAAACGTACGAGTCACGTATGTAACCCATTAGAATCGGCGAGTACGTGATGAATCCACTTTTTCTTTCTCGTTCACCCTCGTTTGCTCGATCCTACCCTCCAGCGACGTGTACGTTTCGTTCGTTTCGTAATGATAAATAGTTAACAGAGTAATTGCATGTTCGAATAATCGTGTTCACCAGCCGGTTTGTTCGGAAACGTTTTAAGGAACGGGAATTCTACGATGAAGAAATCGAAGTCGATAGAGTGGCGTGTTCGGCTTCCAAGGAAACCGATTCCGATTATCGCGGGGACAGATCTCGAGCGGCGTTTGTTACGCCCCTCCCGTAACAATGATTCAGTGAAGGGTTGATTTTCTCCCGGAGGATGTATGGGATGTATGGATGTACGCACAGCGACGATCGGATTCACGGATGCGGAACATGTCGCGTCGATTTTTCAAACGTACGCGCACCATCCGGATGCCGGATTTTTCACCCGCGATTCGCCTCGCACGAGCCGAGTATCTGGGGCGTCGATGATCGATTTCCCAGACGTCGAATCGCGTCTGTACCTTCGATAACGATCATCCCTCCTATCGTTGGTTGGTGTCTCCGATCGTCAGAAAGAAATTTAGCGAAATTACCATTTTTACCATTACGTTTTAGTGCCAGGGGCTGTTTAAAAAACCGTGTTGCAGTATGCCATGGCGCTTGGAAAACGGCTTAACCCCTTAACGTAACTGTAAATAAAAGTGACACCTGCCTAGGCTCACGTAATTTACGTTTAACACTAAACGTACCGGCATTTTATATATACCTATCTTACTATAAGGGATCAAAATGACCCCTCGGCGGTACATAAGGTATGCAAAGAATTTTTCTCGGTAAAAAATAAGCTAAGAGAAAAACAGAAAAACGAGAAATCGAATAATCAGATAATATAAGGATTTACAAAAAGTCAGATTAGCGAAAGAAATAACAACGAATGTACGATTTTAAAGTAAATTTTGAAAATTGGTCATTTGATTCCGCTTGGTACGTTTAGTGTTAAATCGAAATGAAAGTAATTAGGAGAAGCCTCGATACGACTGATGACGATATGGCGCTATTATTGAAGCCAAGTGTATTCTAAATAAAATTGTTGAGTACCGCGTTATCAAACGTTGCTATTTGACACACGAACCTGAAGAGTGTGACATTGAAACGGTTAACCCTTTACATTGATGATTTAAGTTGTGATGGCGCATACCATATTCACAATCAATGTGGTATGTGACAAAAGTCCCATGTAGTTGAATTTGTTCGATTGTAGATGTTAGGAGCAACCGGTTTAATTTTGCAATGTACCTGAGATCTGTTTCGTTGCTCGACGGTCGTATTGAAACAACTTTGAAATATTAAATTTTATCAAGGAGAATAATTTTCGTGCTGATATATCCAATAATTCGTGCGAGATCAGTATTTCAAATTAAGTATAAACATATCAAAGTAAAACAGAATAGGCGGATCGGGGGAGAAAAGATATCAACGATTCATCAGTGAAGGAGAATGATTTATGGAAGTAAATAATGTATCGGTGGGTACTTTGTAAATAAATGCTCGTTCTAAATTGCTAACTTTTTGAAACAAAACTAGCAGAAAGTTAATACTTTGAGACGATACATTTGTCCGAATGTGGCCAAGGTTGTTAACGCAACAGTGAATCTGCTTATGTTCAGACCTTGTAAACTTGTTCATTCGATGTTATAGGTGAAAAGGGTTAACGTAACAAGACAGCCATTATTTCCGTCTCTTTTATTTTACGAATTTCACGCAGCGCTAGAAAGCTCACCCGATCAATTGTTTCCATCGTCGCGACAAGATTTTAGAAACTTTGAGAAACAAGGGAAGCCGGTCTGCAGATCTGATCTCGGCGTTTATCGGTATTGGCGAACATAAGCGACTCCAGCGTCGTTGGTCATTCACCGGGACGTAGCAACGCGCGATCGTAGAGGATCGGTTAGGTGAGAGAAGTGTGAGGTGTTCGAAAACTCCCAGCAGCGGACTCGATCGACAGACACACATGGTCGTATCCTCTTTTGTGCGAGGATACTAGGCTAGGTTCCCACGAGCCTAGGTGGCACGCTTGGTCTAGAAAGGCAATAACAAGAGACGATTAAGACGTAGTCGTGTTGCTCGTCGCTTCCCTGTTCCTGAACACACTCGGCCTGTCGTGCACGAACGTCGTGGCAAACGTAACGGGCTTCGAACGTGCAATTATTCCTCGATAAGTGTTCGATTGCTCTCTAAGTGTTGATCTTCTATCAGCGTAGCATCGAAACTCCCCAGAAGCGAAGAATACGCAGGAAACGAGCTCGAGCAAACGAGGCGGAATTCCTGTCTCGCGAACGCGGAATCGGACGCGTAGCTAATTGATCGCGGTAAGAAACGCGTAAAAATTCGGACGTCGGCGTGGTCGGGCAGGGAAGAAGCGAACGTTGAAACGAACAGGCGTCAGAGCGAACGGTCTGAACCGGTATTACTCGACCGGGGCCGGTCGGAATAATTTTCGGCAGAGAGGACGCTGAGGAACGTTGCGAACGAGAGAAGATGCTTATCGCGATCGGATCGCGAGGCTGGGGAATCATCATTGGGAAATTCTGCGTGGCACCACGATC